CATTTGTATAATTTTTCCTGTCCTTGTTGAAATGAAGTTGTATCTCGATCTAATATCTCCATATATAGGGTGTTATAGATATTTCTGAGTTCCATAAGCGAAGAGAAGGTTGAATCCTCTTGTAATAAAGATTTCACGAGAGCTTCGTTAAAATGGTATAACGAAAATGTGGAAACGTTATGCGAATATCATGTATACCTGTGTATGTTTCAATAATCTTATGTAATAAATAATACACAATTTTTGGTCTTTCAAAATCAGTTTTCGCCATCCTACATTATCAATAAGAATGCGTGTTATATCGGACAAATCCGAAACCAAGATAGGCCAGATCGATAAAAATTTTGATTTTTAAATTTTCACTTGTGATCAATTTTTACAGTACGAATACTATATTAGCGATAAATTGTTTCAAACGTTTTCGATATCTCGAATTGTTATCCTGCAAGAAGTTTATATAAAGTGTACTCGATATATTTCCATTGATAAAAATGAAAAAGTTTATATTACAAAAATATAGGAACAAATTGAAGTTTATAAAATTTGGTACGAATACTTTTCGGACTTACTGCATAGGTTAAATTAATTTTGGCTAGGTAAAACTAATTTCAACTAAAATATCTAACCAATACTAGTTTTGATACGTTAACTAAATTAACTGTCGACAATTAATTCTTTCTCTAATGACACGTACTAATTTTGCTCATCTATTGACATATTCTATCGACAAGTTGTAATAAGAGGAAGAAAAAATTTGTCCAATTAATCGACAGTGCACGAAAGATATTACAGATATTGAAGCTTACCTTGGAACTTACCTCTTCTGTACTGTCAGCAAATATCAAACCTGGTGCAAAATCTGGTTATCAAATTGTGTTGATACAGGGTGATACGCTTAAATTGAACATCTAAGTTATTTCCGTTCGTATGAAAGCCAGGGAAAAGTGAGAAAACGATGTTGGATTGGTTCCAAAGCGTACAATATTTGCGATAACAAGAAAAAGTTCCATCATGGTCGTGTTAATAATTTTCTCAAGGACATCGACAGTTTCTTGCGCATTAACCTTTACTTTTACAATGCGACGTTACAGTCGATACTGAAACGAATTCAATGATCTATAGTATCGTGATCTCAAGATGACCTTGAAAATGCAAAAATGAGTCGATATTTGAAGGACACAAGTGGAAGAACTTACCTTATTTTATTGCTAAGTGCTCAACGTGCTGACTGTTTACAGAAATACCTTTACGTAGAGTTTGGAACCATTCAAACACCGCTTTATCATTTTTCCCTAAGTGTCGTAGTAATGGAAATAACGTAGATATTCGATTTAAGCGAATCACCCTGTATACTGACAGCAAAGGTATATCGAAGCTGACGATTGATACAGCAGATCACGGTACAAAGACTTGGTCTGTATTTGGTATACCTCTGGTGCCAATTGTAGTACCCACAGGGGTTAAGGGATGCCAAAGATTTGATACCAAAGTCAGTGTGCAATGATAAGAGAGATGGATATGGTTTTGTAGTCAAGTTTTTTTAAAGATTTGATAAATTCGCAACCAAGTCGTTTAACGTTAAACCTACCGACAGTTAACCCTTTGACTGCCACGCCGAAATCGCATGTTTCCCTCAGAACGCCACGGGAGTGCACTGCTAGATGCAAAATTTGTTCTAATATGTTTTTGATGTTCTAATAAAAATTTTTAATCGTTCAATGGGGCACTTTTTATTTCAAAGTATCTTTTAATTAGCGTTTATGTTCAAAATGCACTAACTGTCAATTTTCATTCAATGTAGTGCAATGTAGTTCAAGTGATTCAAGTGCTCCGGTCATCAATGACCACCGTGTCGTCACAAGAGAAACCGTAGTTGGTCATATATGACCAATTGTGGCAGTCAAAGTGTTAATGTACTTACTTACCTATTTCTACTTCACCATACCTGAATGACCAAATAAAAATAAAAATAGCTTCATTTATTTTTCAAAATCGAGTGAAATTAATAATCAATACGTAAACCAAATAATTTTTAGATAACGATGAATGATATTAATTGTTTTATTTGTATTTTAATCAATAATTGGAAATAAAAAGTAAAGAAATATGAAAGCAATAACTTTGTACGTTTGGAAGGTAGTAGTGGATTCTTGTTTCTTATTTTTGTTTATAATATTTTCTACAGATTATAGCTTTCTCCATTGTAATTTCCCCGCAAACATATTTCTCACAGTTAAGATACATTTTGATGGCTTTATTGTTCTTGTATCTTTTTGCATGGTATAAAAATTCTGAAATGAACGATCATGGGAAATAAAGCAAGTTATATACGATTTGTAAAAGACATGAAATAAGAAGAGAGACGGATATCGAAAAATTGATGAACGCTCGTAATTCAAACTTTTAACAAACGAAACGTTGCTCTCGAATTTTCAAAATAATATTGCACCGAAAATAACTCACAATTTGTATATAATTCAGAACCTTTGCATAGCGAGGAATGTGTCATTTATATAAATTTTTTTTATTATTCTATTGTATAATCATCAAAAGTATAAAAAATTAAATTTTCACAATCCAAATATTTTTTCATACTTATTATAATTTTGAAAATACATATGCAGATAAATAGGGAAACCTAAATATAACACTTATATTATATACTATAAGGAATATTTAATAAAAAAATAGCTTTCGTTTCTCGATGTCTCCAAGAAATCCGCAAAGTTCAAAAAAAAAAAATATTATTTTCGAAAATGCAAAAGATTCTTGTAAGTATCGACGCTAATTAATATGAAAATAATTAAGTGGCAAATTACCATTTTTAAACTTTCGATCAAACGTTCCGTATTCACGTCGAACATAATTCAAAATATTTGAATTCCGTACTTTAAATATATTGCAAATAAAAGAGATTAATTACGAGCAAGTTAGAGACTCGATCCAATAGATCGATCCTTTATCACTTTCCCAAAAACAGTTTTACTTCATTGTACCGTTAATGTATGCATCTCAAAACAACAGACAAAGTCGTTTCATTTCAATTTTTGGATTAGATCACTTTCATAATTATCCGTGTAATTTGCTTTCGCGATTATTCTTCTACTGTACATATAATCAATTTTTCAATATTTCCTCCTGCTTCCCTCTTTCTTTTAATTCTTCTTCCATTTTTCCATCCAACGGCCATTTAACTAGCCATCGTAGATTTAGCACTAACCCGAAGTTCAAAACTCGACTATGGTGTATTTAGCCTTAGCGGATAGTCCCTCTGATTCGTTTGGAAACTCTACACAGAGAAAAAGAGCAAAGAAATTTAGCGGTACAAAGTGTACAGTGTGAATGTTATGAGAGGAAGGATGCGAGGGGAATAAAGAAGCAAGGAGATTTTGAAAAACGTAACGTATTCTATATTTAACAAACATCTTCTTCACGTCTGGTATTTACAATCACACAATGCGCGTGTATTTGCTAACATATTCGTCGTTGAATATTTACAGTAGATAATTACAAAGTGCGGTACGGACGGAGCGATCAGCAGGCCGAATTCCTCTTCAGTTCTTCGTACATCTTACACTTCTACTACGCAATATTTCGGATATTTCGAAGTTACATTCGCATCCTCGACTAGCGTTCTCGATCTTCCAACCGGTTCAGTCGTCGCTTACTTAGGATATCGAGCAATGTCGTTTCGTACAGACATCCATCGCTTCTTACTCCTTTATCCGATAGACAGTTAGTATCGTAGACATCGAAATAAAAAAGGAAGATGTTAGAAACGAGAAGCCAATAATTTCTCGATTTTGTGCTTCGGGTCTTGTCGTTTTTTATTTCTTATTTCTCCTATTAACGGACGAAAGTAGGAACGATTGCTTCGTCCTGTACAGGACGTGTCATTCAAAGTTTTATTGTCAAACTAGTTGTCGCTACCCTATTTCGAAAACAGGGGAGAAAAAGAATAGAAAAATTGCGTGCTTCGAGTTAGCCGTTTGAAATGATCTTCAGTGAAATTTATTCGTTTGAAAATCCAACAGAATTAAAAGAGAATCGAGAAAAGTGATAAAAACGGAAGGATGAAAGAAGAAGAATAAAAGAATTCTCCTAACCTTTTAAGTGTATTGTTTCTCTTTACTCGAGTAAAATTCGGTTGGATTATACAGAGATTCTTCGTATACAAATCGTATATTTCATGGTTTTGCAACGTTAAAAAAATAAATTTCCATATTGTCATATCGATATTTGAAATTACAAAATAAAATCGATATATCACCCGGTATATCGCCGACGGTGTCCAACATTTTCGTCACTTTGAAAATTTGATTTTAAGTATCCTTGAAATTTCCTCGTTCCTACTTACCTATAGAAATCTAAATAAGAATTACGTTTCGAATAAACGTGAGATTAAGATCGTTTCACGGATGAAAGAAAAGATGGTATTCATCGTGCACAGAATCGTCTGCGTGTCTTGCGTGGAACGCAATGTACGAGTAAATTCTTTATACGCTTATCCGTAAACTCAAATTATTTGCATTCCATCAATTATTGTACCGTTCTCTTCCAATCGTATCCGTTTAATTACAAATAGTATTACAATATTAATTCGACGCAGCTGCTGACGCTACTTTCAGTTTGAAATTTACGTTCCCAGTAAAAAGAATCCATACACGGTCTTTTTTACAATTCTACGCGAAAAATTAATGATAAAAACTTAACACCGTTTCTAGATAATTTCCTTCATAATCTTAACATAATTTTCTATTTCTTCCTTGATCGCATATGATTATTACTGAATGCGTCAGTCTAAAGGAAATGAAAAATTAATTTCTATTTTTTTTTCTTCCTATCACGTATTTACGTTTAATAATAACAACGGTAATAATAATAATAATAGTAATAACAACAATAATAATAATATTCGAATCGAAATAAAAATAATAAAGGAAACGTAAATTTCCAATTACAGATTTTTCGTACAATTTATAAATAAATTGATCGGTTGGTACAGTGCTATTACCGACGAATCTCATTATAGAACTGTAATTAATTACAGATCATCATGCATTTCTCTTATGTTACGTAAATAAACGTTAACTGGTACCCAATATTGTTCCGTAACAGAATTCGCAATTGAATTAATTACACGGGTATCGCGGACGCACTCCTCTCTTTCACCTAACCTCTAAATAATAACCGTGGTTTGAATTCGGCGCGCCGAAGAGACACTCCGATCCGTGACTCATTTTTATATAAAAGCTTATGCAAGAGTAAACAACGAAAATAGCTTGAAACGCTAAGACATTTCGATTTATCGTGTTCCTTTCCCCCCTCCTCCTGCTCCTCCCACTTCATTTCCGTTTTCAGTTTACGACATGGTGCCACGCCTTCCTATTCGCAGACATCTTTCAGAGACTGTTTTTCTTCGCGTTTGAGCCGATGTTTACCGGTAAACTTTCCTTCCTCTCTTAGCGGTTATTCTTCGTAAAGTATGGATCTACAGAGTATCTTTCCTTTCAAAATTTATCCCATTTAATCCATTTTACAATTTTACAATTTACGTATACACATATACGTTATGGTAAATTTGTAACTAAACCACTCACATTATTGTTTGTTCGAAATGAAAATGTAACATTATCGAAGAGCTTCGACGTGCATGTCAATCGTTTCCCGAGCGAAATGAATTAAAACGAATAAATCAAATGTCTTTCGTACGTTCGTAAACATGAACTTAAAACTTTTTCAAACTTTCATTTCGGTGAAACCATTAACAACCATTTTTTCTCACTTTTGTATATGTAATTGAGAACTCGCATTTTAGTTTGCTTTAAAATGTAATTATAACCTACATTCCTAACCTGAATGTGAAATACTCTTTGATACAAATATCGATCGTATTACTTTTAATCGTTAAGAAAGTAAATCGACATATGTAGGTATAATGGGAAAACGCATCGTAATTTTACAAAAAAAAAAAAAAAAAAAGAAAATATTCACACGAATCTATGTATAAAGGAATTCGCGAAAATTAAATACCGCAAACGAGGTTAATCGAATAAGGAAATCGTGAAAGAGGTTAAACATGTTCACTCGTATTTTACGTATCCATGTCTTGATACGAGATAAGCGAAACGCATAATATCTGTAGTAATATGAACGTTAAATGACGAAACTTAGATCATAAGGATGAGGTACTCTTTTATATATTGAGACACACACGGAGCACGTACAGATCACGATAACAGTAAGTTTGAAAAGATACAGGTTTCTTTGATACTTGGAATTACATTACAATGTTAGTCGTTCGTTTCCCATAAGGCAATTCGCCTTTGGGTTAGTTTACTTACGTTTTATTTCCGTGGACATAGTCAAACACGTCAATCAACGACAGTTGCGTTCGATTCGTACTAAAAACATCAATGTCGTAAGAAAAATTTTACAAAGATCGCAACAACACGGCACTGCGAGAGATTTCCATGATACATGTACATTTTTATCACATCGTTAAATGTTATTTCCATTTTCCATGCTATTATTTATCCCTATGGCGTATTTACGACGATTCTAATGGTATACACATGCATCGTACGCCCGCGAGGTGAAGACTAAGCGAGTGTTTACAACACTCTAGTTGCAATCCCACAGCTTCCCCACCATTCGGACATTGTCACTATTGGCTGACACGGAGACAAAGATCGACGACTGATCAACTGAGATGGAGCGATGTCGAACAATCTCTTGGTAGCATTGACATAACCTCTCGCAACATACGAATGTATGTACATAAATACAAATTAATTCCTTCAACTGCAAATGGGTTTTAAGATATTAGAAAGAAGAAAGACATCGTCCAAAATCGAATTACTACCAAAAACAAAATATATAAAATAAAATATAGCACAGTTATAGAATTACTTACGGTTATAGTGAAATCAAATAGTACATAAATTCCTTCGCATCGTTTATTAACTTCTAGTAACAACGACCTCCTCGTGGACGTAAAACGTAATTCGCAATTTCTAAAGAATAAAACAAACGTATGTAAATAAAAGCAATAATAAAACAATGTTGCGAAGACAGCGTTCGATTTCACTCGATCTCGAACTGGTCGCTATCGATCTTCGTCACTATTTCAGCCAATAGTGACGACGCGTACGATACTAGGGATGCTGGTGGATTGCGATTGGAGTGGGGATGTAAATAGTTGCCTAACCTTCTCCTCGTGGACGAACGGTATTTCGTTCGACCAATTAGAAGTAACAAAGATTTTACACAATGTATATCCTTTAGGCGGACCTATTACGTTAACATTTTTTTGTTATCGATATTATTTGGTAATTATATAAATGGTTATTTGAAACGCGCCAGACATTGCAGGAGCCTTTTCATAGCACAGAACAGACGCAATTAAGGAATCGATTAAAACTGTATCGTTGTTGCTGTTTCTCTCCATCGTTTAGAAAATGTTGCTTATTTATTGCAAATCATTTCTGAAGTGGATCTCAGAATGTCCATTCGTTGAGAATTATAGGAACCTTTTCTCTGGCCTTTTTGACATATACGATTACATGTATATAGGTATATCTCGTTCGTTATATCGTGACAAACGTGAGATAACAAGGGGTTGATGCGACAAGGGTATAGGGCGATGAGCGATGGAGATTGATAGAATTGATGAAGAGCAACCAAATTTTACCTGTTATTGCTGTGCACGCGGATTTCAATCCAACAGCTTCGTTCATCGCGTATTTATCGTTTCAAGTATACGTATATTATTCGACCGATGTATATTAATGTAATATTTCATAAGTATATTCATATAAATATATACAAATAAATATATTTATATGTATAGAGCATCGAAAGGAAATAATGAACGAATAATTCGTCTACCCTAATTTTTACTTTATACATACGATCATTTATGTACATTTATAGTATCGATAGCTATAAAATGTATATAGTTCGCAAGGCTTTTTTTCAGATAAGATGAAACGTATGTACGAGTGATTTCCTTTTGATCACCACGCTTTTGTTTCATTCGTATTGTTTTTTTCTTTATTCACATTTTTTTCTGTTGTAGAATGGATTATTCGTGATTAAGACGTAATCGATAAATATAAACCGGGTGTAAATCTTTGTCTCATAGTCCTTGAATGCTACGTTGTAATATCCTGATAGTATTCCTTTAAGCTCCAATTCAACATTTGAAGTACGAGTAAAATTTTCGTGAACTGAAATTTTTCGTCTCGTGAAATTTTCGGCGTTCTCGAAGGTTAGTCTATTATACAGGGTGACTCTCTCACCAGTAGCGATATTATCGACCTCTTCATCGAGCAACGATCATTTACCTAATGCCGAAACCGAAGAGTTTGTTCAGGTTACGATAGTGATGTGAACGAAAACAATGTCACAGTATTTACAGCAGTTCATCGAGAGTCTTTACCGAGTTTATAATTGCATACAATTTTGAGCGTGTCACGCCAAAGGTGGGTATGAGACTACGTTACCTTTTCTGAAAATAAAATGAATACGATTTGCGACATATGTAAGAGTGGTTTGTCCTATAATTTACGTGCAAAACATAACGATCAGTGTAGTAGTTGTCCATTAATATCACTTAAAAACGTTAGGGTATCCTACTTCATCGCACATATAACACCTTCTACTATGTTATTCGTTGTATTGTATATTCCACAAATATTTTGCAAACACCTACTAATTTATTCTTATATTATCTTCACACCTGGTAGGTGTCACATTCATCTCCCAATTCATGCAATCTGACTTATTTTGCCCTTTACCAACATTTCTTGTGTTCGCAAAATATTTATAGAATATGCAATGAATACAGAAGGCGTTACCAAATTAGTGGTATAAACTGATAAGGGGTGAATCTACGTGAAAAAAGATAAATCAAAGATGTAGACTAACATTTTCTTCAATGGAGCTTTATTTTTGAATAAATCGATATTAAAGATTAGCAAAGTAGGCGTATACTTGACTTGATTGAAAATACCAATAATTAATCACAATGAAATTTGAATAGGGTAACATAAATATTCAGACGAATCGTGATCCATTTCTCCGTTTTTCGTCTGTGATATGACTTTAGTAGATTGTTTAAACTTGAAACTATGTATTCTTTCATTTCAACTGTCGACGCGTCAGGACGATCTCAATTATCTCGTGTATCTTATGAGATACCCGAGTACCCGGCTAATTTTTCTCTACTCGAGGGACCTCGTGAGTAAATGCCCAAATGTGCACAAAGGATTTACCTCATTTTACGCATTTCTACTAAGAAACTATTCCAAGGTTTCATCGCCATTCCAGTGTCCTCGCAATACTCGGTGCGATATTAATGTTCGTCATATCTGATCCGACAAAAATAATATACCACATAAATAACTCTACTTGTCGCATTACATCAGCTAGACATCTTTCAACTGCGTCATAAGCTCCAAGAATAATATACTTTAGATCGCGAGCTGCAAAATGTATTTAACCCCTTGGCTACTGTGGGCGCATATGAGCGCTCAACACAGTTTGCTTTTCTGACACGGAGGGCGCACGCATATAAGCGCTCAACACAGTTTGCTTTCCTGACACGGAGGGCGCATCTCTACCCAAAATTTTGTCGTTCTCGGCGAACATTGTAAATAAATTCCTACCCGTGTGGTACGACCGGTGCGTTTCAAAGTCTGCCGTAGTCAAAGGGTTAAGACACATGTTGAGTTACCGAAAATTGGTGAGTCCAACATTTACCCATACCGATATAATCACCGACATACTGATATAACCACCCGACATGCCACCTGAAATTAGGTTTCAGCTAGAAGAGACGTAGATATTAGAATCAAAGGTACAATTATAGGAGAAAACACACGGTTTTTTCCAGTACGGAGGGACACACCATCTTGACTGATTGCATAGGTGCCATCGGGAAGTTGAATGGAAGAAGAAATGAACGCGAAAGTTCAGGCTGAACTATGGAAATCAGTGATCTCGATCATCACAGGAACAGCTGTTTACTGGAGTAGCTTCTGTTCGCTAGCGTAAGTAGAAAGGTCAGTATTGGAAACGGAACTTAACACAAAGTGTATCAACCACGTACCTATTGAATACAGGTGAGAGAGGTGTGCGAGTTAAATAATTGGATCTACCGATGAAAGATTAGTGCATCTACTATTGTATTACACGTTGTATCACGACGTGTACCCTAAAAAGCAGGAAGCTGCCTATGTTGACGTGGTTGATATAGCTAGGGTAGACCCCAAAGTAACCTGCATCGGATGCAATACGTGTACCCTAAAAAGCAGGAAGCTGCCTATGTTGACGTGGTTGATATAGCTAGGGTAGACCCGTGTTGCCAAAGTAACCTGCATCGGATGCAGATTGACGAAATAACTCGTTATCGAATTCGCTATACGCTTTGGAAATTGCAAGTCTTGTTAATATAGTCTACGTGGTAGACGTAGTCTACGTCTAATCACAAGGTCCACGTGGTCAGGGAATTAAAAAGTTTGACTCTGGCAAAATGAACAAAATCGGTTATGATCGGAAGTGATATTATTATACAGAGAAAGTGTTATTCTATAATAAGCTTGGACTGCCATTATCTAGGACGTGGTATAGGATTCAACTCCGCTAGGATCAATAACTTAAGTAGACATTTGGGAAATGTGCCCGGTCGCTCTACATTGCCTGCAGAAATACCGGTTTTTGGAGTGGAACTGCTAAGAACAGACAGTGGATTTTAATAAAGAATGTGTGATCGATACTCTTCGTTAGGGATGGGTTCGTTAATGCGTAGAGGACGTTTATTAACTCGATTATAAGGTCCTAGAGTGTGCGGTAGAACGTGGATGAGAACGAAGGACCTGACAAGAGGTGGTCAAGATGTTAAGATAATCAGTGGCGTCGAAGAAAAATAGGTGAACAATGTTACAATGATGAATACAGGCTGCAAGGAAGAGAAAGTATCGGCGAATAAGGAAAACCGACTGAATTACGTTGACTAACCAATCTCCATTTTGAATATATCTCGATCGCGTGTAGGTTGATAATTGCATCAGATTACACATACGTAATTCACATAGCGATCAGATTACACATATGTAACGCATATAGGGATCTTAAATTATTTAGTAGTAGAATTATCGGTCTCTAATGGGTACCTAAACAGCGTGTGCGTGGATGATAATAATAATTAAAGTCATACGATGAAAATAAATAGATGCATATAATCAAGTTTCTATTGTGATAAATTAATTATATTTCAACCCAATATTTGTGTCTGACAATCTTTGTAATTCAATAAATAATTGTTCTTATTGTTATTAAATTTCATCTACCACTAACAGTTGTAACCCTACAAAGATTTCATATACCACATTTTCGATTTTTAAACCTCTTTCATTAAAGAACCTCGATGAATCTCTGTAACTCGTAGGTTTCAGCTTTTCGGTTAAGATTCGAGTTATCGAGATTCGACTATAAAATCATAATTTATGATTAAAATCGATGACAAATAATGTCGCACGAAGTCGACGAATCTGTCACCATCTGTCACCACGAATCTATCGCAATGGCTTCTTATCTACGTACAGTGGCACACGAAAGTATCCGAACGCTATACTTCGAGTGAATGCTCTAACTGAAAAATTCCAATTTTAATGAAAGTATGCGTGTACGTAAAGCATAATGAGTTACACGTGAATCAATCCTTTCTTATTCGCAGATATCACTTCGTACAGGTGAAAGCATCGCTCAAATCTACGATCCGATCTCTGTTTTCTTTAAATATAATCGTGTAATGATGCGAGACAGAGCAAAGCTTCTTAAATAAAAATTGCTTAATTTTTAATCCTCTATCAATCTATAGCAAAAATTATTCTCTGTGAGATCTCATTCTAGAAGCAAAAAATTGTTAAAACTTTAATCCGTGATTTTACCTAATGTCAGTAGTGCTAATGTTATGTGCCACACCCTGTATATCGTGTTTAAAAATATGCTTAATTTATCGATATAATTCGTCACCTGATTTTCTGTGAACTATAAAATACGACAAAACGTTATTATAATGCCATGTTTGTACCTGGTATTGTAAGTAAGAATGTTCGATTTGTTATACTACTTGTTTATATAATGATTTTTCCACTAATAAAGAATTCCTTACGCTAATCTAATTACACTGTACAGCAGGAGGTACACGAGGTGCAACAGCATCCATATAAACCCACGAATAACTCGAAAGCGTAGAATAAAATCTCGAGTAGTATACTTTGGTATTGGAAATGAAAAGGATGAATACGTAGTATAGATCGATAATAAATAAGAATCTTGCTGTAAGATGATAATAATGACAAAAAGCGGATGGCGACATTGTCGATGTTCATACAAGGTGCACCGTCACGTATGGCAGCCATTTCAAAGATGGATTCCACACACGAAAATGATGAAAAAATTTCATATTTACCGTATTTTCCCGATTCATGCATGCTTTCGATCCATTCAGATC